CTTCCCTGTTAGCCCTGAGTCGAGGGACTCAGCACAAGGATTCAGGAGCCCTCATCCAATGTAGAAACACAGCCCCAACTGTAGGATGATAGAGAAGTCATGGGGCTCTCCTGGAGACAATGTCCCCTTGGCCTGTCCCAGTATTTGGAAATCCAGGGCCTATATTCAGGTAGTTTGGGTAACTGCTAACAGGCAATCCCGGGGACCAGGGCAGAGAACAAGAGTCTGTCAGACACTTTCCAAAATGCCAAGTCCAGTGGGGCAGACATTGCCTCTTACATGGCTAGGTTTTTATTTTGTTAATTGAGAAGAAATAAGGAAGTGGGGAAAGGTGCATGGATGTGGGGAGGCTACGTCATGGTCCTATAAGTGACTGGTACAGTCAGCATGGTCTCTGCCTCTCAGAGGATAATATAAACTTATAAAGGTCCCTCATTTCCTGTTGCTTCCAGGGAAATAGTGGGATTTGGTGAGTTTCCTTATCTTTGAGGGGAGAGAGACTAGAGCAATGAAAAGGAGGGAAACAGAATCTTGTTACAGCTGATTGCAGTCTGATTGATGTTTAGCAAATTGCATCTGAGCAAAAAGTATTGTGTTTCATTTTCCCCTTTAAATCATTTCCACTTGAAATTTGGAATTATCTGCACTGTTAGAATCAAATCTTTGAGACTGTGCCTTTGGGAGTCTTAGGGAAGAAGGAAATTGATGAGACTGATGTTTAGCCCTTCTGCCAGGACGCTGACCATGCTCCCCGATGACACGGTTTGCCTCTCTGATCTGCTTCTCCTGCAGTGATGGAATATAATATGATAATGTGAAGCTCAGGTAGGAAGTGAGAATTTTCAATCAAGCCCCCAGTCTTTAGGGTTTTAACAGTGAATAATGGGCCTGCCCAACTGTCATTCTCTTTTGCCTGGTTCTAGCCCTAGGCCCTTGATTTTTGGTGATGGAGACAGAGTAATTCGTATGGTCTTTAAGTTCTATTTCACATGATTGCTATATACTCCTGAGACTTGTATCTGGATCCGGAGTCAGGAGAAATTATAAAACAAAAATAATCCAAAGCAAGCCCTGGCTTCTCAGACCCACATCCATGATACACAGCACCGCTGGGCTCCCCCAATGGCCACCAATTTCTTGTTCAATCCTCAGGTTCTTAGAAAGCCTTTCACTGGGTTCAGGGAATAAGAAAGCAGATTCATTATTATTGTGAGACTCTGAGAGATGGAAGAAATTAAGTTTCTAATCAGAAAGCTCTGTTTATGACCCAAGAGAAGGGAAGCAGAGTATGAGAAGAGAACCTGTTTCTAAACCTTCCTCTCCTCAACCTAACATTTGTTGTAAGAAATGTCAATGGTCAGTGCCCCGTCCCTACCCCCAAACTACTGTGGTCTTCTTGGAAGGACTTTCCAATAAACCGAGAGTTAAATTTTCCATCTTGAAGGCAGCAATCAGTCAACTGCCACCCTCTTTTCTTGCTCTGTCTTGTCCCTGTCCCAGCTTGGATGAGGACTTCATCTCTCTCCAGAAATTCAACTATCATTAACTTCAAAGGGAACTGAAACTCTGTGCACTCAGCCCCCTGGTCTCATCAAGGCCAGCCTTTGTAGTTCTCTGAGCCGTGGGCTCTCCAGGCTGATACGTGCGGCTAGGGAGGTAGGGCGCAGATGTTCTGGCCTGGGCATCAGGGCCAGCCGCAGGCTGATTACCTGTCTGATAGTGTTGCAATGTGCTCCTGGGCCACCAGACAGATATTTTTTGGAACTGGCACCAAACTCTTCGTGGAGCCCCGTGAGTTGATCTTTTTCCTATATTTCTAGGGATAATTTGAGTCCTGGGACTGGGGCTTCTATCCAATTGGCTTTAAAAATTATAATGAGCAGATGACATTAGAACTAGGAGATGGAGTAGCACAGACAGGAAATGAGCCAGAGTGAAGAGGCTAGACTGAGTCACTGCAATAGTTCTGTGACTACCTTTAATTTTAAATATATATACTGTATATTAAGACTATAGTTCCCACTTATTTCTGAACTCTTCAGAGCAGCCCAGAAGACACAAGGAAGTTGAGTAGAATTACACTAAGAGTTGGAGCATTCAGGGGGAGACAATGGCAGGGACGCTGTGGCCCCAGTTCCTCAGGGGACTGCTTCATCTTTCCTGTCCCTTTGGCTGACTTGCGCACGCCTCATTGCAAACTGAAAGCAAATACTTTGCAGCTTGGAAGATTCTGGAGAGAGATTGTTAGCCTGATCAGAGTAATCAGGTACAGCCAACTTTTCTTTCCAGGTCTAAATTAAATCCCACATTGGCAGAAAATCTTGAAATTCTGAGTAACATTTATTATAGATGTTGCCATTCTTAGGGGCTATGAATCTAAAACATAGATGATTTCTAAGTTTATAAATTAAGAAGGCCTGTTCAGGAAGGGTATACACTTCTTTTTGTATTATCTACCAGTACATAACGTGAGCATTGTATTGGTAATCATAAAAAGAGAAAGTCCAGGGGTGGCGCCTGTGGCTCAAAGGAATAGGGCACCAGCCCCATATGCCAGAGGTGGTGGGTTCAAACCCGGCCCCAGCCAAGAACTGCAAAAGAAAAGAGAGAAAGTCCAAAAATAAAACAATGGTCCAAATAAATAGCCCTTGAAACACATGTTGAAATGTAATTACACTTGGCAAATCCTCAAAAGATAAACCACTAAGTTTCTAAATTAAATTTTAGACTACAATTTTATACAACTTTAAATTTTGACTTAAGCCAAATTTATAAAATAGACTAGACAACTACTTTGAGTGCATTCCATTTTAAAAAAAGGTTTTAATTCAATCAGATAGCTTTCTCTTAGGTTACTAAAATGAAAAGAGAAAAAGCACTTTCCTTTCAAACAATTGTTTTGAACATATAGACATTAACTTAGAAAGATAGTCTGAGAAAATGGTTTTCCCAAATCAAGGCCTTATGCGCCATCTGAAATGCTAATAGATTCAGAGCTCAGTGTCATAAGTGCATGACTTTCTTCAGGTTCAATTTCTTCACCAGTGTTCACATTATTCAAATCACATCTCCCCAGCCCGAAGTGATCATTGACAATTGTCTGATGAATTCAGGTTTTAAAATCCCAGCAAGCCTTAATTGTCAAACTAAATCAGACTGGGATTAAGTCATATGCTTAAATAAACAAGTGTCTTTTTTTTTTTAATGGACAAGTTTCCTTTCTACCTCATAATTCCCTTAAAAGTCAACCAGAATACATCTCAAACCAATCGTGAACAAGAAATGTAGCAGTTCTGAAGGAAGGTGAATGAGCAACACGTGTGGTTTCCAGCCCTTACTAGGGTTATCTGCGTCTGTTATCAGTGGCTTCAGCTATGCCAGGAAACAAAACAATGAAGATTTTCTCACGCAGGTTGAAAGCAGGTTCCAAGAAAGCCCTTTGAAAAATTCCCAGTCCTCTCTCTTATCTAAAGCTGAAGCCAAAGATATAAGGAACCAGATTATAAGGAACAAGTCTCCTGCCCTGAGTGACTGGAACAAAATTAGTCTTTCAGCTGCACTTCTCAACAGAGAAAAGATGGAGAATTATGATGGCAGCAATGAGGGGGCTGCTCTGAACGGCTGGTTTCCTAGGAAAGCCCTGATCAGCCATGGTCCATTTACTGAGAGGTGATCAGCAGGAACTTCCTGACTAGCAATCACTCCCTCTCAACCAGATATGACCAGTTGATTTTGGTGTAGCTCTACTAGCATGAGCTATATAGCTAAAGCCCAAATCCAGATTCATGGTAAAGCACTAGAAAAAATTACTTATTTTCCATTTACACATTCATTACCAACTATTTGTTCAGCAATACCTAAGATCCTGATTGTAGACCATAGTAGATACAATGTACACTGGAATTCAACATATTTTTCATTTGCTACCAAGAAGCCAAATTCACCTAAGTTTTAAATACTAAGAGCCATATTGATGGGAATAATTAACATAGAAAATCAGCAATTAAGTTGAGGATTGGAAATATATCCAATTGCCCTTTACAGATTGATTGTCTTTCCTGATTTTAGGATTCCTTCTTTAGCAGTCATCTGAAAGGAGCATGAGAATCCAAATCTCCATGGACACAAAACTTAAACACAATTCAAAAATGTCAATAAGGCATAGTCTTAAAGCTTCAAGACTTTTGGTTTTGAGGGGGGAAAAAAATGCACTTAAAAAGTAGCAGATAGATGACAGCCCAAGGTGAGGCATGAAGGAAGAGGACACCAGGAGGAGACCCAGTTACTGAACCAACATTCTTTCCATAGCTCCTCTCAGAATAAAACAAGAAGAAAAGGGCTGCTACTCATTTTATGTCTATAAGGACTTATTGAGAGTGATATTTATTCTCCTATTAAAGACTCAAAGGAAACTCTGGTAGTTAGTCCCTTACAGAAGAGTAAGTATTCACCTAAACGCAGAGACATTCCATTTAAGATCCCTTCCAGTCCATATAACATGGGAGACCCCTGCAGTGACCCAAACACCCCCATCCTCAGAGCACTTGGACCTATTATGCAGTCCTTCTCAGACCCTCAATTCTTTACTTGACATAATGCCAAACACCTGCCCTGCTCTCCTTCCAAGGGCCCATTCATTTAAAATAAACCAAGTAGGGCAGACAGATATTCGGCCTAACCTTAATTGTCCAGAGGATTGATCAATAACACATACATAATTGAAACCCAGATGATCCAGAAACTTCTTTACAGTTGTTATTTCCCATCTCTGCTCCATGTCTCTCTCAGCAGCTCCTAACTAGAAGTCAACTGACGGCCTTTCCTGTCTGCTCCCCTTGGCGATTCTTTCATGAGGTGCTCACAAGCCCAGCTCACTCACAGGATGCATGGAGGTCTGGAGTGTAGTGTTTGGCCCCAGCATAATTGGATAATCCCTACTATTTAACTCCCACAAAGTTGTAGATAAATCATTTCATAAAATAAGTTTATTATATTTACAGGGTATCAGACTCCTACCAAACCATCCGTTTTCGTCATGAAAAATGGGACAAATGTCGCTTGTCTGGTGAAGGACTTCTACCCCAAGAATGTGAATATAATTCTCAACTCATCCAAGAAGATAAAAGAATTTGACCCTGCTATTGTCATCTCTCCCAGTAAGAAGAAGTACAGTGCTGTTAAGCTTGGTCAGTATGAAGATCCAAATTCAGTGACATGTTCAGTTGAGCACGAAAGGGAAACTGTGCACTCCACAGACTTTGAATTGAAGACAGAGTCTTCAGGTGAGTCCTATCTGGCCTTAAGGGGTGGAGATTATGGGGAACAAAAATTAGGGGAAAGGCAAGTTAGAGATGTAAGCTCTCGACAGATACTTCTCAATGTGGCATCATACTGGAAATAAGACTTAGGCCCAACCACAGCCTTCCAAGGACTGGGAAGGAAAAGCTCGGCATCCCTCAACTGGACTCTAAGACAAGCCAGTCTCGTTTCATTCCCATCTCTCCTCCTTACCAGCCACTGCCTCCTTCATATGAGCAACTGTCCTGCTCCTAGACTCTGGGGTCAAAAGCCCATGTGCAGTCTGATTCAGTGCTAAATTCCAAAACAAAGGGCAGCCCAGCCCATCATAGGGTTAAGAATTTTAATTCTTCCTACATATGAGAGGTATGCCTGGGTATTGGCCTCATGGCACAAAGAAAAAAGCCCAGAACGGCAAACATGTTGGTTGTGTCAATAGCTGTTGGACCTTAACCAGATCACACCCTCTGGTCTTCAGTTTATTTATTTAAAGTCTCCTCCAGTTTTAAAACCCTACAGTCCTTTGAGCCCCCTTGGGTGCTAATGTATCCCTGACCCCTGAGGTTTGTTCCAGATAATCAAAAACCAACCAAAGCTGGAAAGACAGAAGCTCCAACAGCAGACCCTCAAAATGCAGATCCTCAGAAGACAAAGGAAACTTCAGAGAGCTGCCGTCAACCCAAAGGTTAGTTCAAATCACAGAGCCAGCTTCAGAATTAAGAATTACAGCAAAACCTGTAATTGTCAACTAGGGTCAAAAAGCATCAGATTTTAAAAGAAAACAGAAAGCACACTGAGCCCAGTGAGTTCTCTCAAGCCTCTGACTCCCCCAAACCCTCACAGCCTTGCCTGGCTGGCAACACAGCCTTCCAAAGCTTGCCTGGCTGGGGGTGACCAGCAGCCTGGAGGTACCACACTGGGCTTGCAGGCCAGCGAGACCGCAAGATCGGGGGCAGGCTGGTGCCCGTGTTGTAAGCCCAGTGTGGGGAAGGGAATTGCATCTCTCTCTGAAGCCACATTCTTCACTCTGGTTTGGCCACAGTTCGTGCGGAGAAAGTGAACATGCTGTCCCTCACCGTGCTGGGGCTACGAATGCTGTTTGCCAAGAGCGTTGCCGTCAATTTTCTCCTGACTGCTAAGTTATTTCTCCTTTAAGGTAAGAATCAGCCATTTCTTATTCCCACCTCCACCCAAACTACACTGTACAGAGGGGAAAGGTTTGGACATTCTAGGAAACCAAGAACCACTGGGGAGGGAGAATAGAGACAAATTCAGAACTGATAATGTGACGGATCTCAGATACTCAGCCTAACAATATCCAGTGTCCTGCCATCCTTTCATTTTAAGCCAAAAGCCCATTAGTAAGTAGAGTGCACTGTTTCCCTAATATGCCAGCCAATAAACCCCATCTCCACCCCAGAGAGAAAATTGAAGCTAAATAAGGAGAAGAATTAGTCTTCTTGAACTGCTGTTGTTTATTTGTCCAAGAGGCCATGGGTTATTTGCAAAGCCTTATAAAGTTTCACCTGAAAAATATTCAAGGGAAGCAAGCAGAACCCATCTTTGCCCTGATAAAGGGAATCCCAGCTCCTGCTCTTTTGTCATCAAAAGACAGGCCAGCCTGCCTTTGGGATGAACCTACAGCCCCTCTTAGTAGTGAACAGCCCACTACTAGCTGATGCACTCAAGATGTGCACAAAGTTGGAGCTGAGACATTATTTGCTTGATCCTTGTATTCCCCTTTTCAAGTGATCTTGTGCTTGAACTTCATACAAGGCCTAAGTTTTCACAAGAAATGTGTCCCCCTTACTCCTTCTCCAATACTCCACAACTTATCAGCCCCGGCTCCTGTTCTAGGTACAACCTTAGACTTGGAGTGTTGGACTGATCTGACCCAGTCTGTAAACATTCCCACTCCTTCCCACACGGGTGTCCAGCCCATGTGTTATTTTACTGACAGTCCCACGGACACAAGCAGTGTGGGTTTTAGTCCTCACTTTGTCACTAACTCACTGGGTTCCCTGAGCCATGTTGTGTCACCTCTGTGGACCTGGGGTTTTGCATCATTAAGACAAAGGGGTTAAAAATGACTAAAGTCTACTTTGATTGGGTCTGAAATGTATTCAGAGAACACAACTTTATGAATGTTCACATCCTTAGACAGTTTAAATGTGGCCTGTCCAAAACAGGAAAATTCAGCAAATGCCGCCATGGGGATCTCATATTTAACTAATAGAAAACACGTAGCTGGGGCACTTTAACTTATATACAGAAATTTAGGGGACAAAATCACTCGTTGCATTAAACTGAAATATGGCCTAGCTGTGTTTACTAGTCTTTCATCCTTACTCTTGTCCCTCAACTTCTCACTCCCCCAGCAGCCTTCTTTATCTTCCACTGCAAGTTTTTTTTTCTTAGAAAAAGCTGTTTAGGGAACTTCTCGTACTAAAGAAGAAAATATAAAAATTATCACCTCTCCTTTCCCTTTATTGTATGTTTCATATAAATGTGTGATAATACCGATAATTCTTTAATACCTATATTTGTTGGCAAGCTTGTCTCCAATGGTAGAAAAGCAGGAAATATTTTCAACTGTCATTATATTCCATGCCTAGCAAGCACGCTATCTGGCCAATCCCATGTTCTCAAAAAATGTTTATATTAAACATTCAATTAACAATTAAATTAAAACAGGTAAATTTTTAAAAAGTAAATAAATAAAAATGATTAAAGGAGAGCTAATGGGTTTCCTGACTTGGGCCAACATTGATAGCTCAGTTATTGCCATATGTGGAAGGGAAGCACGTCCCGATAGGATAGATTAGTGATGTCTGCAATGCCTCAGCATAGCAGGCACTGGCCACCCCCAGACTCCATGACCCCTACAATTCCCTCCAGCACTATGACTCTAGAACTTTCTTCATTTGCAGGCTGATGGGCACCAGGAGGCTACACTCCCTGAAGGAAACCAAGAGTTTACCAAGAAGCTTGCTCCTGGGCTTCTCACTTCCAGGTGATTCCAGCTGACCTGCCACAGCCTTGTTTAAATAGCTGCTAGAAAAACCAGTTTCTCTTGGAAGGCAACAAATCCAGCTCATCCTCCAGCCTGGCAGAAAGATGAAAGTCTGGAGAGTGAGGGCTTATGGTCCTAAGTGCTTCGTATGTTGCTTTATGAAGGATAGAGGATATTAATGGATGTAGGACTCAGTTTTTTCCTCCTACAACTGATATACTTTGAAAGTGACATTTCATTCCTTTTGACTTTCTTTACGTTCAGAAGTAGAAAGTGGGAACCAACAAGTTCCCAGTTACACTCTTCATGAAGAAAAAAGGACCCAGGGGAGGAAGAGTGGGTTTACTTTTACCTAAACTTGGACATCTCTGCTTAACTTGCCAAGATTTGCCCCAAATCAGCATCTTTCTAATTCCCCCTCCTTGTGGCTTTTCCTACCCTCTAGATCAGTGGTTCTCAACCTTCCTAATGCTGCAGGCCTTTAATACTGTTCCTGCGGGTCGTGACCCACAGGTTGAGAACCACTGCTCTAGACTTACTTCAGCAGCCACACTAGAAATTTTGCATGGTGAGGGAGCGGGATAAAGTTTCAGCACTTTCTGCTTTTCCTAATACTTTACAAAAAATATACATTTGACTTTCCTAATACTCTTTGAGCAGGCAATGGGGTCTCTAAAGTCTCATCTCAACACTCTTCAATCTACTAGCAATGATCAGAATGAGCTAGGTACTTTTTTCTGTTAATTAATTCAGTGCATGTGAATTGACTCCCTCTGGGTCCTGCTTTCAAGCAAGTGTTTTGGAAGAGGGGGATAGTAAGGAAATCTCTACCATTCCTTATAAAATAATATTTTTACTGTCTTTTGCCTGCCAGTCCATGTAAAGGGAGTTGGAGATCAGTGGCCACTGATTCTTTTGCCTGGCTTTGGTGTTGATGGTTCTCTGCCTTTCTTCCCAGCCCCCATCTCTGTTGCATTTATTAAACTGCACTGTATGCACCTCAGCTCCAGCTTGGTTTTTTGTTGACCACTGCAGAGGGAAAGTCCGCCCTGCAAACTCACTATTAGTCAGCTGAAAGTCAGACTGAGCTTATAGGTCACACCACAGCTTCCTGTGCCCCAAACCTACAGAGCCCCTGCCTTGGGGACCCAGCCCTGGGTTTCCTGTGACTGCTACTGCCAGAGCAAGAAAAACAGCAGGGGCCCAGACAAGCGCCACAGCCCCCTCCTCAGGAAAGCCACAGCTCTCCCAGGTGCACCCGCTCAGGGAGCACCAAGCGCCCTAGCAACACATTACTGCGGCTTCCTCAGCGCCTATGTGTGATGACAAGTGGGGGTGTGTGAGGTTACAAGTGACAGAGCAAACATCACTCCCAACCCCCCTGGCCATCGCCCACTGCAAGCTCCCACAGCACCTCTTCACAGCCCAGCAAAAGAAAGGAAGCCAGCACGCTGAGAGTCAGTGAGTTAAGGACAATCTAGCTGGATAAGCCAGGTTCCATCCAAGGATCAACAATCGAAAGACTTCCCACAACTTCATCTTGTATGTGAAGAATGTCTATTTCTAAAACAGTCACCTCGGTTACCTTGCGAAACATTAGGATGTTTCTCTGCAGTTGCTAGGAATGAAAAGATCACATTCTCATTTCAGATGAAAAAAACATGCCCTCCCCTCTACCAAAAAAAAAAAAATGTATGCACCTTGTCCAAAGTCATTCCATAAGGCATGAATATTCCTTGGGGCAGAACCCAGGTCTCAAGACTGCCAATCCCACAAATGTCCATGTGCTGGAGATTAGAGACTCAAAGGGGGGGGGGAGAGGGATGAGAAGGTGCCTGGGTGGACAATGTACCCTACTTGGGTGACAGTTTACACCAAAAGACCAGATTTCACCACTGTGCAATACAAATGTGTATCAGAAATCAGCTTGTACCCCCAAATCTATTAAAAATGTTTTAAAGAACAAAAAAGTCATAAAATTATAATAAGACTGTTAGTGCAAAGTCCCTGCTATAGAAGCATCCCACACTCCCTAAATGTGGTCGAGGTGTCAATCTGAACACCAGGACTGTCCTATATTTAATATATAAATGAGCCACTCTCTGGCCCACTTTGCCAAACACAGGAGAAGTATCTAACTTATCATTATGAATTTCTTCCACCAAAATGAACCTGCAGAAAAGAGCTAAGGCTAGAGCCAGGGAGGACTATGGCTGCCTTCCAACCCAGGGTTCATGTGTGTGGACAGTGTGACAGATATGTGACATATCCATACGTGTGGACAGTGTCACAGATATGTCACACACCCATGCATGTGGACAGTGTGATGGACATATCACACACCCACACATATGGACAGTGTGACGGACATGTCATACACCCAGGCAGAACAGGGGCTCCAGGGGCCCAAGCCACTTGCCCAAGGCCTTCGGCTCCCTCACCTTACGTTCTTCCGATTGCTCCACATCACAGCTACTCTCTGCTACACACTGCTGCCCACACTGCCTATGACAAAGCCTCCAAGTGAGCCATGGGAGAGCCCTGCAATGCAGTGCCACATCCCTGGCTCTGTCCTTAGCCAGCTATGAGACCCTGGGAATGCCCCTGCTTCTCAGGGCTGCAGCATATTTCCCATAGAATAGTGTATAAAGCCTCTTCCATTTCTAAGATTGTGTCTAACAGCTCTAACAGTGCTACAGAGGCAGAGAATTCAACAGAAATCAGGGGAAGGGGGCTGAGGCCTGGGGCCTCAGGATGGATCTACTGCAGTAGCACATCCTGGGTGTTCCCCAGAAAGGGTCTCTTTGCTGGAGACACCACTGAGCTCCAGACTCAGGGATGTGAAGCTGGGATTCTGGGATTCACAGACAACTTTCTAGGAGTGCTCAGTGCTCTGCAGTGAAAGTAAAATGCTCTCCAATTACAGTAAAAGGGAGACATCAAAGAGCAGCAGGGAGAAATAAGATGACTGGGTCTAAGAAGATGTGAAAGGCAAACTGGGGAAACTTTTTTAAGTAAATAACTTTGTGTCCAAATTGATTCTTAGAAGGAAAACAGATCGTTTCACAGTAATGAATAAATGATGATGGAGACTAAAACAAGGACACTGCTGATGGTTCACCTCGGGTGGCCCCCTCACCCGCACCATCTGAAACCCTCTCAGCCAATGCAGCACAGATTTGTCCAGCCACACTCAGTGCCAGGTATGCTCTGGCCATGAGAATGAAAGGACAGTGCCCCTCAGACACCCAACTTTCTTTTGCCTACCACGAGTGACTCAGGTGGCACGATCCAGAAGTGGGGCAATCTTCTGCTCCTCTGAAGGTCCCCTGGATATGACCAGGCCTTTTATTATTCAGGAAACCTCTTAAGGCCAGGCTGGAACACAAAATGGACGCTAGGTCTGGGACGTGACCTGCCCTGAGAGGCACCTCGGCAGAGCCAGGCCCAGGGGTTTGTGTGCAGACCTCCTAGACACCCATGACACTGTGGCAGAGTCACATGAGTGTCACTGTCTTCAGTCCTTACTGGGAGATCACCAAGTAGAAGGCTTTCTGGGTCTGACTGTGCATCAGGGAAAACCAACCCTGAGTAAAACCTGTATCTGGAGATCTGGTGGCATCCTGGAGAGGATAAACTGAAAGGAACAGTCTGGCCTTATTTGGGACCAGAGTAAATCTGGATTTGAGAATCCAACGTTGTAAGTGCAGCACAGTGTCACCTCACTGCCACTCGCTGCCATCTGGCCCAAGGTCACTTCATTACACAGCACGCCCTTGTCTGTGAAGAGGAGAAATGAGAAAGTGGTGAATTCCACACTCCCCAGGCACTGGGACTGGCACGTGCCCAGCCCAGAAGAACTCAAAGGACAGGGGCAGAAGGACACAGAAATAAAACCCAAGGCAGAGAATAACTGTAAAGCCAAGACTGAGGGGACAGAGGCCAAGCCTTCCAACATCAGGGAAAAGGAAAAGGGAACCACCCAGGTAGAGAGCAGGAGGAAGGGGGAATGTAAACAAACGCATCCCTTCCAGGAAAACAAAAGGCCAAAGCTTGCAGTAAGAGTCACCTTCCTTCTTTTCTTATCAAGGCAGAGGATAGACAACAAAACAGGGTCCCAGAAGTCTGTGAGACCTTCCTGGGGCTTCCGGTGGGAGGGAAGTGAGGGGAGACAGGGGCCCTGGCAGTCAGATGACAGAATAGGCTGTGACACCCACCCCCACCCCCGAGCCAGATGCCCCCAGCCAAGGAACTCCTGTTACTGTGATCTTGGGCCTCAATCCATCTTGAACTAATTCATGCTGTTGACAATGAAAAAGAATTACATTTAAAAAAGAGAAAAGGAAAAGGAAGCAAGGGAGGGAGGCAGAAAGGAAGGAAGGAAAAGAGGGAAGGAAGGAGAGAAAGCACAAGACAGACCATGGCATTCTTGGCTCTCCAATGCCATAAACATCGTTTAATTCCTGTATGGTCTGGGTGCAGACTGGTGCGCCAGTCCTCTCACAGTGCTGGGTCCGGCTCCCTGCACTTTGTTGTACTCAGTAAAGGGAGTAAAGGAATGAGCCCCCTTAGACTAGTCCCTTGCTCCTCTGTGGAAGGAGGGAGGGAAGGGAGTTGGAGGAGATTGGTTCTAAAATCCATCCTAGAGTTGAATTCTGGAAATCTTTTATTTCAGATGCTTGAGGGAGTGCCCTGACCCTGGAAGTAGTTTTTGCTCTTCAACGGCACGACTTTCCACCTCTCACTGGGCCCACTGCAACACGCGCTTGGCTCTAGCTGGGAAATCCTCCCCTGCAGCTGAGCTTCTCGGTGGGTGAACTGCCGGGAGTGGGTTACAAGCTTGGCAAGATAGTGCTCAGAGTGGCCGTGGGTGCATTGGGTGGCTGGAACCTCTAAGCCAGAACTCCTTCCAGCCACAAGCCATACAAATATGGTTTTCCACATCAGCTATGACACGACAACAGTTGGGAAGCACTGTTATCAAAAACAGAATACAACCCACTGACTCCCCTAAGCCCAGGAGTGTTCTGGGCGTTCCTTCAATTCATCAATAAGAACTGCACCCAGTTCATCAATAAGACCTGTCAGTTCTACGTGAAAATGTACCTCCAGTCCACCGGCTGCCTCTCCTGTCTTCACTGCCACCACCTCCTGCAAACACCATCACCTCTAGCTGGGACCACTGCTTTAACCCCCTAACTGGCCCCCTTGCTCCTGCTTTGTCCCTGGGCAATCCATTCTCCAGGTCTTCACACAGTGTAAATCATAATGGCACCTCCTTCCCAGGCCTGTAACCCCTGCAAGTCATCTGGCCCTTGCCTCCCTCAACAGCTGTTCCTCATTTGCTCTCCGTCTGGCAAGGTGGCCACCATCTTATGCCCCGGTGCCTCCCTTTACTAGCTGCCTAAAATTCTGGGCACAGTTTTTCACAAATCTCAACTTAAAGAGCTTTCCCTGGGTACTCTAACTAAATTAGTCACCAGCCTACCCATAAGCACCCTCGATTACACCTCTATTCTTATTTTCCTTCACGTCGCCATCTGAAATCGTCAGACTTATACACATTCATTGTTTGTCTCTCCCAATGCAACCCTCCCACACCCCAGAATATAAGCTTCATGAGGGCAAAGACCTTGTGAATCTTTTCACTGATAAGTCCCCAGCCCCTATGCGACTGTCTGCCACATCACAATTAATAAATATTTGTGCAATAAAGGAATGCATCTTTCTCCACTTAAAAACTCACCATTGACACAGATAAGGTTGCCAGATTTAACAAATAAAAATAAAAGGTACCCAGTTAAATGTGCATCTCAAATAAACAACAATTTAAAAAGTTTGATAATACAGGTATCTGGTACATACCAAATTTGGAACATATACTTTAAGTATTTATTATTTATCTGAAATTCAAATTTCACTGAGAATTCTGTATTTTATCTGGCAACCCTAGTCATGGGAAATACTGAAAATAAACACCAGGCAGGCCAAAGC